GGGAGAATCCTAAGCAGGCTCCACGCTCAGCACAGAGCCCAACGTGGGGTTTGATCCCACGACCCTGTGATCATGACCTGAGCTGAAATCAAGACTCGGGCACTTAACCAACTGAGCCACCCAGGCGCCACTCACTTAATTTTTTACATGTAAAGCCACGCGTTTCATAATTTTCAAAGTCATCGTGCCAGGTATCTATATGTTCCTCACTTTTACCTTTGTATTCTTAATCCTTACAATAAACTCTACAAAAACGGTCTTACTCCATTTTACAAGTAGGGAAAACAGACTCAGAAACAGCTGGCCAACTTTGTCCGGGATCGCACCTAGGAAATGACAGTCACAGTGTGAATCCAGATCCGTCCGAAACACACACCTACGCTCGTGCCACTACACACCAACTCGGACACACCCGGAGCCGACTCGCGAGGACGGCCTGGAACTTTGTCATTACCTTTGCGTTCGTTGCTGCCGCCGTCGGCTTGTACCTCCAGCGTCTTTGTGGCGAACGGTGAAGAGACCGGTTTATTCTGGCTAATATCTTTGCCAAATAAACCGGAGTTTCCAGAAGAGAATGAAAACCCAGTCAGGGGGCCAGAGTTTAAGGAGCCCAAGGCAGAACTCTCGATCTTCTTGCTAAAGTGAAACGAGGCACCTGCTGCTCCCGCCGACGGGTCCGCTTTCTTTTCAGGATCCGCCTCCGTCTTCTTTTCGGACGTGTCCTCGGTTTTGCCGCCATGAAACAAAAATGTTGACTCCTGCTGTGACTTCGTTGACCCAAAGAGGGAGGGAGACGGGGTGGCGCCGGGCGTCTTGTCGGAGTCGCCTTCGGAATCCCTGCAGCTGCCGCTGCTCCCGAGCTGCTGCTCGATCCCTGCCAGGTATTTCTCGTAGTCTTTGAAGATGGGCGTCAGGTCGCAGAGCGGGTTTGTGTTCACGTGCTTCACGATCCAGTCCCGCACCGAGCAGTTTAAGGCAGCCAGCTGCTTGTGATAGGCGTTCCTGGGGCAGGCCGTGCTAGAGGGGAGGCCGGAGGAAGAGGGCTGCTGGCTGTCACCGTTAGTTTTGGGATTTAAAATCTTTTTATCGACCAAGGAGGTAGGACCATTTGTGGCAACAGATCCTATAGGAAATTAAAGTTTGAAGAGTTTACTGAGAGGCTGACTGGATTCTATCCCCCAGATTTTTATGCTGCACTGCCTTCGTATTTTCTTTTACCGTACCCTAGTTTTGTGACAGTTCAAGAAGCGTGTGCACGTCTGACATTTAGGAAGCAGTGATCACAAAAATCAAACTTTGTACAAAAACGGGGCTCGCGTCAATTAAACCTCTAAAGGTTTAAAATGGTCTTTTCTTTCAAAAGGATGCCTGATGCCTGCCTTCCCCGAGAACTGTCACAACGGTCAGGGGAAAGCTTAACCCCCAACGCCTTGGGATGAGCACATACTCGTGCAGTTAAAATCTTAACAGGGAGCGCTAGCTTCATCACACCGAACACTCCGCCTAATTAACACCCAACGGGCCACACTTAAAATACCTAGCGAAGTACAATCCAACCAGCCAGGGTCACTTCTGAAAACCGAAGACCGCAGCGCAGGATTCCATTCTCTGTCACTGATCCCGAGAGCTCTTGACCAACTCTCTCAGAACAGATCAGGCAATCAATACACGCCGGGCGAAACCAATCTAGGCTGGAGGACCCCCTAGGTTCCCGGGGGGCGCGCACCACACAGAAAGACCTCGGCCCCCACAGAACGAATGAGGAGACGGGAAGGCAGGTCTTTACAGAGGGTCCACTGAGAGCGTCCTCTTCTCCTTTGACCCTCAGGTCAATTCCGAGAGTCACTCTCAATTTCACAGTTGAAGATCTAGACGCTCACAGGCTAAGGGACTTTACCAGGGTCACAGAGCCGGCAACCAGCAGAACTGAGAACAGAACCTTGGTCTATCCTGGCTCAAAAGCTTCTGCTGTATTCACTTCCTCTGCAAATAGCCGATATCTAATTTGCATCCCTTTCGGTATCACCCTGTTTCTGCTCGTTTAGTCCCAGGACCCAGGATAAGTACAAGAAAAGTATCTTTGCAGAGTTGCTTTTCAGATGGTCTTTACCCAGATGTGACCAGGGGGAGGGGAACCTACTCACCAAAGGCTGCCTTGGTCTCGCCGGCTGCCCTGGCACTGGAGAAGGGAGGGGCACTAGTTATGCTGCTTCCGTTAGACAGTCCTTCCAGAGGCTTCCCTCCGGCACCGTTACCAAATCCAGAAAACCCTCCTCCTCCAGATGGTACGACCAAACCTTTAAAACCTTTAAAGGCCCCTCCGCTATCAGACTGAAATACAAAGAAAGAGCACACATTAGATAACTCTCTTTTATAACTAAGTAAGTAACAGTATTATCTTGGCTCAACAGCACCTAGAATCCTTAGGGCAGTAGCATTAAAGGAAAACTGCCAGCACAAGCTGGAAATGAGGCAGATTTTCCTCCTGATGACACAGCTCTGCCCTCCAAAGCTGCCTTCCTGAGACAGCCCTGAAGGACACTCCCAATTTACAGTGAGATTTGTTTTTAAACATAGATTTAGGAAATAGAAGACAAAAAAGCCTCACGCGATAAAGCTGTGTACGCAGCCTCAGAACTGTAACTAAAAGCAAATATTTCAATACAACGAATCCCTAACGAACCATTTTTCACGTACTATGCAATCAAAAAGACCATTAGCCCAAGGATGCTGTAGAAACATCAAGTCAGGTGAACTCCAAGTGCTTTACCCACTTACCTGTAATCTCCTAAGCCCTTCTGCAGCCTTTAGTCTCTGGGAACTGGTGAAGTTGACTCTCAGATCTAGACTTTCCCTTAGTTGAGAAATCCACAGGCGACTTCCAGTAAGTAGCAGGGTCTTTCTAGCACTTTCAACCCACTGTGGCTGGCTCTCTCACCTCTCTAACCTGAGATGCTCTGGAAACATCTGGCACGCCTATGAACTTCTAACACTGCTCTCTGCCCCTGGAAACTTTTGGAGACACGTTCCTCAGTTTACAGTGCTTGACTGAAGTTACTATTTCCCTCCCGTTCAAAACAGTGGTTCTACCGCAGCAGGGGATGGTCTGCTTTTTGGATCAAGGATCCAAGGGAGGCTCTAGGAAATACTCTCAAATACATATGCTCAGGGGCGCCTGGGTGGCGCAG